AGCAGAAGAATGCGCTTGTAAGCTTCAGCTTGTGCTGACATCGCCAATTCGCCGCTCCAGCTGTGACCCCAAAAAAGCCAAGTTAATGTCATTCCGTCAACAAATACTCGTCATGGCTGCATAGCCCTCACTCAGTTCGCTTGCTGCGGGTGTTTTCATCGTGTGACTCAGTTTTCATTATGTTTCAGCGTTGTTGTTGTTGTTGCTTTTGACGGCTTGACGTCGGAAAATCTAAGCAGCAAGGTCAGTTTTATTAATTGCCTCGAGCCCCCAAGCTGTGTTTTCCATGCTACAGTTTTTTTTTGTTGGCCATCTTTACAGGCAATTAACGCTTAAAACACTTTCCTATGTTGCAACAGCAAACTTGTGAAAGTCGCTGGGCCACAAAAATTTGCATGCCAAATTTCTGTATGTTCGTCTGACTGTCCGTCTGTTTGTCTGCCTGGCGACTGTGGACCATCAAAAACCAGCCACATATCCCAAGCCGCAAGCCCCGCCTCACGTGCGCCACTCTAATTGACACAAATTCCATGACAAACAAAATACAAACAAAATTTTTTTTTTTAATTTTAGGTTTTTTTTTTTTTTGCGTTGCCATCACATGCATAAAAATGCGAGAGACCAGCGAAGTTGGACATATCAGCAGACAGCTAACAGCTAACGCACCCACCCAGCCAGGCAGACAGACGTGACCAAATGGCACCGTCTACATACAGTGGGCACAAGTTACAGCTCAGCTCTATAATAGGTACCAATTATTGACAACATAATTGAATAATTGCATATTATTAAGTGTATATCTATAGTTAGTTTTAGTTCAAAGTATAGATTAAGCGTTTTACATTATCGAATTGGACCTCGGAGCTATCTTTGCATAAAGTTGTTTAGAATTTTGATACATTTTGTTTTACCACTGATTGTCAAATTACATTCACTTTCTGTTAATATATACATGAACAACTGATTCAATGCTCATCAAGAAATTGTAGACTTGCTTAAAAGTTCTACGCATATCAATGCTTTTTTCAGTGTGTCAAACCGAGTACAATTTTGGTTCCGTTGCCGATAAGTGCGTACGGATTGATTTCAAATTTGTGTTCCGATCTGATACAACAACTGGTTTTTTTTTAAATGTTTAAGCCGTTTCCGGCTTGACGATCTGGTCTCTCTTTTTTCGCAATAATGAAGTACGTTATTTAAATAAGTAAAACATATACTAAAATATTAATGGTTTTTAATTTAAATAAGTATAATATATATTGGGTTCTCATGATTAGCAAAACAAACCAAATATTTAGAAAAGTTAACGAGTATTAAAACTTAATTTTAAACCAACATAGGCAAAGTGGAATTAATCTATGTAATAAAGCAATTTTAATGAAAAGAAAACTAAAACATGCCTTTATTTGAACAACACACTATTTTCAGCACTTAATCAATTAATTATAAAAACTTATTAAGAAAAATGCTATGAATATCAAAGTTTTACTTAATTCATTATTAAGAATTATATATTAATTTATACTTATATCAAACAAGGTAATAATTACAAAGCTTTTTCCCAATTCATTAACTATAACATTGGCTTCTATGGCGTTCGACCATGATTATTACTTATAAAATAAAACAAAAATTATAGTGTATATAAATGAAATGTAATATCAGCTTAAAGAAGACAAAAATCGAGGTTTATTCGAGAACCACTGTGCATGTCACTGTCACTCAAAACCTATTGTAGATCAAGCCAAACTCACGATGTCTTTGCGCAGCTGAGTGACATAAATCCATGGCTCAATTAATGCACAGCACGTTGGGGTGTGCTCGTGTGTATGTATGTTAAAATATCTGCCTAGTTATTGTATATAGTACACACACACACACATGCACACATCCATGAGATACTTTCAGTCTTTGATATGCCTACAGATACAGCTACAGCTACAGCTGCAGTTCTGATTCTGATTCTATGTCAGAGACGCTGAGACTTGTGCCAGTCACGCAGTTCAACTTTGATGTTGAAGTGAAATGAACTTCTTGTTTTTATCGCCATTAAACTCACGAGCTGTGTAGCATCTGGTTGGATGGATACTCTTCGTAGCACTTTCTTCGTCTAATTATGCAGCTGTTCTTGTGGCCGCTTTTATGTGTTAATTTAATTACAATAAAATCCAAATTAACCCGCTCTGTACTTTATCAATGTGCCTAACATTATTTTCACCGACATTTTCCTTTTTTTTTTCACTTGCGGCGGTTCGTTAAGTTTTCACTTGGTTCTACTACGTTGAGGGGCTTTCAATAGCGGATTAATGTCGTTGCTGACTTCATCGCATCAATTGCGGCCCATTAAATGCAATGAATCATGACTCTTGACGAGAGCAGCTAATGGCAGCCACTAAAGCAAAGTCAATGCATTAAAAGTTAAAAATAATAATACGAAGAAAACAAAGTGCCATAAGAAAAAGATGAAACATCAGCAATATTTGACATACCGAAGTTTATATACCCTTGCAAAACAAAGAATCTTTGACGCAGGTATTTAATTGAGACTATAAATTGTGGCATCAAAGATATTTCCATTACTTCACGACAAGAATTATAATAGCCTCGGCAAGGCTGAAATAATAAGAACAAAAACAAAGACAAGTTCTGGCCAAGAGATGCAGCCACACCTTTTTTTTAAATCTATATGGCTACAAGCCGTGTGTTTGGCTAGACAAAGACAGCGCCGCCCGCTGAGTCGCGGCAAAAACTCCACCACAAAGCACATAACTGACAATCAATTATTCGACTTAAGTCGCTGCTGCTGCTGCTGCTGCTATTGCTGCGCCTTTTGACTTTGTCATTGACTTCAAGTTTGTTTCTTAAGTCTTTCGTTTTGGAATTTAATACAGCGCTCCTGCAAGTTTGTGTCTTAAGTCTTTCCAATCCGAGTGTTAAATAAATCAAAAAATGAAATTTGTCAATTATCTTTTGATTTGTGTTTAAAATATGAATTTTATTTTTCTCTTAAAAAAACGTGGAAATAATTGTTTTTTTTTAATAAAAAGATTGAGTTGCGCAGATAGTTGATACAATACAAAATATCTAAAAGATAAATAGCTCTTCTGCAAGTTTGTGTTCGAAATCTTTCGTTCTGGATTTGAAGTTACTTGAATTGAATTACGCACATCGGGAGATCTCGCAGATCTAAGATTCTTTTGACCGGCGGCCTGCTTTTCAACATTATTTGGCTAGCAACAAATCACCAGCCGGCAGCACCGTTAATAGCTATGAGAAATACTGTTAACTAATTTACGAGACAAAAAAAAAACCCAAAAAAAAAAAAACAGTAGAGAGCAACACAAAATAACTAGTCACTAAAGCAAAAAGCATAAGAGCAGGAAAAATCTTTGGGGCCTGATAGCAAAAGGTATTTCAATGAACAAAACGGCGAAACTAACGGTAAATCATGGCACTGTAATTAGGTGTGAGTAGTTTTTTAAATGCTAGCCCAGAATCTACATCGGCCAAATGCCAAATGCTGAGAATTGTGCTAACTATTGACACTTTGACCAGCTTTGTCTTATCAAATTAGTCGCCGCAAAATCAAGCTGAAGAGTTTCTCGACGTTGAAAGTGATCAAAAAAATTGCATAAAATGAATGTGAAAGTTTTACCGTGCCGTTGGCCAAAAGCCCAATTCTTGGTAATGAGTCCAAAACGCAAATAAAATTAATGATTACGAAAACAAATATAATATTGAAATTAACTTTTAGATGCTGTGAGATGCAGCTGCGTCGGTTGTCTTGAAAACCACACAGCCAGCTGGTCAAATGTTATCTTTGCTTTTACACAAATACCTCAATAAGCAGATACCACAAATATGCAAGAACAACAACTGCAATAGCAACAGTAACAGCAATAGTAATAGCCGCAGCAGCAGCACCAAAGAGGAAATGCCAAAGACGCTGTTCTGCGCAGAGCAAACAAACAATGAGCGTCTACGCAGAACTCGCCAAGAAAAAGAACTCGGCGAGTCAGCGAGCGAAACAAACAAACAGAAACTTGTATCTGTAAAATACACACATGCACACACAAATAAAGATACAGATACAGCCACAGTTGGGGCAGACACAGAGAGAAAAGTAATGTAATAAAATTCGGGTTGACTAAATCATAATTAATGTAAAACATATTTAATATATACAAATCTTAAAATAAAATAAATAAAAATTAATAATAAAATAAATTAAACTTAAATTAAATCTCAAGACAAACTAAACAAATATCAAATCTTTGTTTTAATATTGTTTTACTATCACTAGAAGGTCGTTTGGTACTCATTAAAATTAGTAAAAAATAGTGGAACTTAGTACACTTTTTCGTTGAGTGCAGCATAGCTTTGGCGTTGACTATGGATACAGAGCGCCCTAAGCGCGCAAAAGAACTTTTGAGCCGAGTGGAAACAGCAACGAACAAAAAAAAAACAGAAAAAGAAACAAGAAGTGGAAGTGGTGGAAATGGTGGAAACAACGATAGAGGCTGGCTAAGAACGAGAGACATGAGAGGCATGAACGCAACGGCAAACGTTTGCTAGACAACAACAACAACAACAACAACAACAGCAACAACAACAACAACAATAAAACTTGCTTGTGGGATCTTTGACCTGCAATGGCGACGACCGAAGAGCGGCCAAGAAATCAACAACGTGGAGTTGGAGCAGGAGCAGCAGCAGCGCGCCCGTCAACGCCTCAACTAAGCCGTATAGATACTTTACACATTTACACACACACACACACACACATGTACAACTACACATGTGTGTATGTGTTTTTTTTTTGAGTTGGCAAGTGTTGGTCGCTTGACTGCGCTGCTACTTTGTGTTTAATAAAATTAACAGTTAATACCAGTTGTACAAACTTAAATTAGCTGCCTGAATGGACAGCTGAAAACGAGACACACTTAAATGTAAAAGCAGCGACTAAAAGATACTTTTGTATCTTTAACAAAAGTACTTACCAGGCCCCTTTAGCTTGTTTGTTGCTCTTGTTATTATGTGGCTTAAAGTTGTTGTTTCAGAACACTGTGCATATTCCATAAATACACATGCACACACACACACACACGCACAGTTCACACACACGTTTGTGTTTCTTATTGGATGTGGCGAACAAATGCCGCTATTTGCAATCTCATTTGTCGCACACACTCACGCGCACACACAGAAACACACGGCCAGGCTCATAGACCACAATTTGCTTTGCACTTGCACATTGCCATTAATATCGAGAAATATAAATCAGAAATTGGCTACCGCGTTTGTTAACGTTATTTACGCCGTCAACATTTCAATTCGATATTCAAGCGCGCAATAATTTTTAATTTTTATTGCTTTATTTATCAATTTTTATTACTATTTGTCGTTTATTTTATTTTATTTTTTTCCTATTCACTTTTGGCCAACAAACGTGAACAGTGGCCAGCCAGCGGCGCAAAAAGACAACTCTCTCAGTGCTCTGCTCAAACCGAACTGAGCTGAACTTGGCCTCGGGGACGCCATCTTAGCCAGTTCGTACTGGAATGGAGCGCAACAGCGCGCATTCCACATTCCAGTGTGCGCTCACATAGCGCTTGGCTGCCAATTGGAATGTGAGTGCGCTGCGCCGATCAGCAAGCACCACAGGGCAACTAGTTGTCAGTTGGAATTGTGCGCTCAATTGGTTAAGACGTGTCGACGGATAATTAACGGCTGTTGAGTTGTATTTTTTTTGTTGGTGTGTTAAAGATATGCAAAATAATAAACACTATTATAATTTAAATTAGTTTATCAATATAATTTAAATATGTATTTCAATAATATTAATTCCAAGTGCACTTAAAAATTAAATGTGAAATGTTCTTCAGAAACTTTTTTCTCTCTCTCTCTCTCTCTGTCTCTCTCTATTTGTGACTCTCTCTTTGCTCACAACTCAACTCACCTTTCCAGTCGCAGCAAGTTCTTTGAGCCGCTCTTTGAACGGCGTACAGCGTGTGAGGCATAGAGCAGAAGAACACAACAAACAAACTGTTGTCGTTATTGTTCCACTTGGAGAGAGCGAGTGATTTTTGGCTATGAAAATGATCGGCAGCGATTACGTACTGGAAGCGCACAACATATTCCACACCACCGAGGCAAGAACACTGGAAACGCCAAGCTATCTTTTATTTTGACCACTCTCTCTTGTGCTCCCTCTCTCTCTCTCTCTGTCTCGCTTGGCAGGTGGACGGTGGTGGTTGTTTCAATGGTGCCGGCAACTCAGCTTTGGTGCTCAAAGGCGTCAATCTGACCGTACACAGTGGCGAGGTGATGGCCATATTGGGTTCCAAGGGTAAGCAGCTTAACGCACTTATATTTATCATTATTATCTTTAACCCATTCTCATTCCTAGGCAGTGGCAAACGCGCTTTACTGGATGTGATCGCGAGGCGAGCGGATGGCGCCACTCGTGGCCAGGTGCTCCTCAATGGTTCTCCGCTGAGTAAGGCGCTCTTCCAGCAACGCTGTGGCTATGTGACACAATCGTGCACCTTCGTTCCTGGCTTGACAGTGGCTCAAACACTCCACTACACGCCCACTATTGTGAGTTACTCTTAAGATTTCTATGATAAGTTAATATGGATCATAAATTTCGTTTGATTTTTGGCAATGCTATTAGAGTGAAAAAGTTAGATCATAAAATATTACTTCGTTTTTTTTGTTTAGCTTGGTGGTTACCTTAAAAGTTCCAAGGTGCGTCAAGTTCTGGCTGATTTGGCGCTCTCACAGGTGGCCCACAAGCGTGTGGAGTATCTAAATATCAGCGAGGCCAGACGCTTAGCCATTGGGATACAGCTGGTTAGAGATCCGGGTAAGCTAATTTTACATATAATCTATTGCATATTGAAAGTATAATAATGAAAATATTTCTTTTATATTGATCTAAAAATTCCTACCAATTCTACATCACATCAATAGTACTAATTATTATTGTATTTATTAACTATTATATAATCATTAATCTATATATTAATCTTTATCTATATCAACCTACATCTATCGATCTATCTATAAAAACCTCTGTCATATTGTATCTATTTTATACATTTTCATCTTCTCTTTTTTGCAGTCATGCTTCTTCTGGATGAGCCCACACAGGGCTTAGATCCCTTGAGTGCCTATTTGCTCATCTCGATACTCTCGAATACGGCCAAGAAGACGGGCTGTGGCATCTTGCTCTCGTTGGAGAAACCGCGTTCCGATGTTTTTCCATTTTTGGATCGTGCGCTGTTTCTCTGCTTGGGCGGAGTTGTCTACTCGGGCGGAACTCGTGCAATGTTGGAATACTTTCATGCAATTGGCTTCCCTTGTCCGCAACTGGAAAATCCCTTAATGTATTATTTGTGCTTGTCGACTGTGGATCGTCGCAGTCGTGATCGATTCCTTGAGTCCAGTCAGCAGATTGAGGCGCTTGTCGAACGCTTTTCCAGGGAAACGCCCATCTCCGATGCACCGCTGAATAATATGGGTTCCGGGAAGGTACCATTAGCTTATGGCAAGCCAGGTGAACTCAAAGTTTGGGTCATGCTCTACTTGTAAGTGATCCCAGAAGATCCTCACTTTATATCGAATTGATGATCTATGGATTTCTTTTTTAGAAAACTATTGGCCTCGACATTCTCCTGCGGCGTTGTGGGCATGAAGACGCTCTTCCTGCGTATGCTGCTTCTTCCCATAGCTATGAGCATTATGTGGGCTTTCTACACAAATGTGGGCGTGAGTAACTGTTAATTGTACTACTTAATCTTTGTTTAATACTCCCGTATATATTTCAGGATGATGCTAGTGGATTTTTTACTCGAAATGGAATGATATTGAATATACTTGGTCTATCCTATGGCTGTGGTATATTGACTACCATATCTCTATGTAAGCTTTAAGCCTAATCTTTCTATGTTTGTACTTCGTTCCGAAGTGAAAAGCGTCTATTGGTTTTCTCTAATCTTCGCCAATATATATATATTTATTTATATTATATATAGATCAGGCATAATTATATTTTGATAGAGTACCGATATTATCAAAATTTAAAATGTTGAGTTGTAGTCTGCAAATTTTCTGTTATTAATTTTGTAAAAAAGCGCTGCGTAGTTGGGATATACCAGATTTTTTTTAGGTGGGCTCTAATTTAAAATGTATTTACCTGCAGTTCCCATTTGGCGCAAAAAGTTCTCGCAGGACACACCGGAGGGTCTCTACTCGGGCACTACGCTACTCGTTGCCTACAACTCCGTTTCCATACCCTTCTCAGCGGTATCTGCAGTCCTCGCCAGTTGTGTTGTGTATCCGTAAGTTAATTTTTTTTATATAAAATCCGTTATACTATATTAATAACACAATTTTCTTTTGCAGCTTATTGCTGGACACCAAGTACAACAATGGCACTGTTTTTGCCTATCTTTTTGTGGCCCTTTGGTCCAGCTATGTTCTGGCCGAGCAGCTGAGCATCGCCTTTCTACTGGTGGTTAAAGTGCCCTTCAATGCGGCCATTGCAGTGACTTATGTCCTGGTCATAAGCATTGCCTTGGCCAGCGGCACAGTGCGGTAAGCTAGAAACTGCAATATTTTAAATAACATTTCGATTTGAGTTAAATATTTATTTTCAGCTCCTTCAAGGGCTTGCAACCCTGGCTGCAGGATAACACCAAGGGCACTCACACACGTTACGCCTCCTCGCTGTTGCACAGCATCGCTTTTCAGACCCGCAAGCTAAATTGCACGCCCACCGCCTCCGTAATTTGTCCCAAGCCGGCGGACTTTATGCACGAGCGCTTGGGTCTGCCAGATCCAGATGTGAGTTATCTAAATATTCATAGCATGAATAGTTTTTATAATACATTGATATCCTCTTTTTCCTTGCAGGAAACTATTGATGTGGCTGCATCCTGCGCCTTTGCCGTTGGCTTGGCCGCCTTCAACATGCTGCTCTATTTGTTCCCAATGCCGCGTTGCGTACGTCAGAAATTTAAAGACTGAGCGCCACGACTTAATTTTGTACTGCACAAATTAACTTAAATTTAATTAGTAGACTTTAAATAATATTTAATAAACAATAAACATATAAACCGAATTAGAATTTGCCCGCTAAACGAGCGAGTTTTGCTTGCCTGCATTGGTATCGAAGTAAGCATCGATAAATGAGGCTTGGCAAGCATTTCATATATTTAAGTCAGCATCGATAAGTTCGGCTTGCGAAGCATCGATTACTAGATTTTGAGTACTGAGTACTTTGGCGCGTTTTTCAAATTGGTTGCCTTCTTTGGCTGACAAAAATTCAACAACAATTATTATTTATCATTTTATTTACAAGAAAACTTATGATTAAAATAAATTTCGTAATGAATACATTCGAATAAATCTTACAAATACCAAATTCTTGAATATAAAATACATTTGCAAATTTAGCCATCTGTAGTTCAAAATAATTTCAAATTTTTCCTTTTTTTTCGATTTTGTTGTATGTTTGCATCATTTCAGTTTAACAATTGTCTAACGACTAAAAATATGTTTGATTTATTTAAATAACTAGATACACGCATTGGAAATTCATTAGAACGTGTCTGATTGAATGAATATGTACGCGAGTTTTCATTGGGCAACGAAGAGTTTTGCCTTTTAAGACGAAGACGGTTGATTAATGCGGGATGTTGTTTTTTCATAGTTAATATGTATATAAAATACTGTGGCACCTATGTATATAGTTGCTGCTGGGGAGTGGACATATGTATAGAATAGTGTAGTTTATGTATATAATGCAATGATCGGGAATATTTAATGAACGATAACTAAAGTGGAATCGGAGAGATTATTTTCTTGAGAGGAGAAATAGTAATATTAGTTTATGTATTTTATGCTATGAACTGATGAAGGATATGTAAAGTGGGTATTTGTGGTTAAGTTGGGTAGTTTGGGAACTGGGAGAGCCTCAGTCCGTGTCATAGTAGGCGTAATCATAGCTGGTATCCTCGTCAGCATATGGCGGCCGTCTGGACTTGGTTTTCTTGTCCTGTTGATCCTTTTTGCTCTTTGATTTCTTTGGCTCCGCCGAGGAGCCTTTGGTGGTCGATGTTGTTGTTGTTGTTGCTGCTTTTGTTGTAGTTGTAGGACGTCTTGTTGTTGTCGTTGTTGTTGTTGTTGTGGTGCTAGTTGGATAAGCCGTTGTTGTTGTTGGCCGGTTGGTCGTCCTGGGACTAGATGGCGCCACCTGTGGACTATATTGGGAGTTATACTGCTGAGAGTTCTTCTCCGCCTTGTAGATGTCAGCGCGTAGTTTATTAATGCTGGCAGCACCAAAATTCAGGGACTGAGCCGTCTTGAAGAGTTCATCCTCATCACTTAGATCCTGTTCCTGTTCGCGCTCCTTTTGATAGGCTGACTGCTGTTGACTCTTTAGATGACTGTGAGCCTGCTGGAAGCCATGTGGCTGCCGACTGGACACCGGTGAAGGTGTTGTCGTCGTTGACGATGCGGAGTTGCTGCCAGATCTGTTGCGCAGAAGCTTGAGGCGATTGCGTGGAAAGTCATTCTCATACAGCTCCGGATGATATTGACCATCATCCTCATCCACATTATAATAGGGATTGGCTGTGGTGGGCAATGCAGCGGTTACAGCACTCGACTTCTTTGGACTCACACTTGGAGTCTGCTGCTTTGGCTGATTTTGGCTGGGACGCTGTGTTTGTTGTGTCTGATAGTAGCTTTGTTCGTAGGGTTTCTTGTATGTGGTGGGCTTGAAGGTGGTGGGTGTGAATGAATCCCTACCAGCTTGGGTAGTCCTCTTGGAGATGCCATAGCTAGGATTAGCTGTGCTCGTAGTCGTTGGATAATGGAACTCATCATCGGCATAATGTTGAGTCGTTGCCTTGTAGGTTATACTTCCGCGGCTGGTGAAAGTGCGCGGCTTGGCGGACGATTTAAATGGCGATGGCTCCTGGGCGCCCACACGTGATATATCCTGTGCTCGGGGACGATGATATTGTGGCTCCAGTTGTGCAGGAGCAGGCCTTCTGGACGTTTGCTGTGTCGCCTGGAACGGCTGTGGTTGTTGTAGTTTCGCCTTGGGCAGCTCAACGAACTCATTGTGATTGACGTAGTTGGATTCTTGGGGGCCAAGTTTTTGCTTCCTTGCCGCCACTGTGGGCTTGTTTCGTCTGGTCGTCTCCTTATCAAAGTCCTGGGCATTCTTACCCTCGGTGCTCTTGATGCGATAAGCATTTGGATTATATGTGGTTGGTTGTATGCGCTCCTGGGTTTGATAGTCATTCTGCCCGAAACTGAAGCGACTGGTGATGCTGTTGCCCAGACGAGGAGTTGTGGGCACTGAAGTCGTGCTGGGCGTGCTCGATTTGTAGGCCTGGAAATCCGTATTGAACGAAGCATGCAGGGTGATCTTCTTTAGGGCCTTAGTGGAGGGTGCACTTGTAGTTGTAGTTGCTGCTGTTGTTGCTGCCGAGCTTGTACTGGTGATCCTCTGGGATCTGGTGGGCGTCACACGCGTTTTGCTGGCCGTCTCCGTTGTCTTGCGATTGTATTCGTTGAAATCATTGGGTCGGGGACGTGCTGCCGGCTCCTCATCAAATTCGCGGCCACCATGGCGATTGGCAAAGAAGTGCGAACTGTGGGAACCCTTAAAGATATCATCGATGTCTTCTGTGGTTATGCGAAAAAAACAAAAAAGAAAACAAAATAAATAAAGATTGCAGACAAGCGCGTGATTAATTTGTGTAATAAATTTAAAAGTCCCATTGTTATATACCCTGTATGTGTAAACAAATGGTATCACAAAGTTGTGCAACATTGGCAAAGACAAACATTTCACAAATTTTCTACTTGATAAGAAAAATATATATATGGATATATATGTACTCAATTTAAAGAAAGATTATATCTAATTCTGAAAATTATGCTGTTTCTGAATAAATTAAATATGAATGTCCATTTTTTAGATATGCACTTGAAATGTGCTAAGATGCTACTTAAACTTGATTAGTCTGAGTATTTAAATGCTAAACTTGTTCTTATACTTAATATCTTGGCATACTTAAGCTCTTAAGCCAATTCCCATATCAATTTGAGTTGTTGAATTAAGAAATAGATCGTTATACAAATATTTGTTGCGGGGTATTTTCAACTCAATCTTGTCTCGATTAGAGAAACGTTTATTTCTTGAATATTTGTGGCTTACGTTTTGAATCATCGTTGTTTTCTTTGTTGTTGTAAACGTTGTAGTAGCTGCGCTCAGTTGTGGTAGTTGTTGTTGTTGTTGTGGGTCGATTGGTGGTGCTACTTGTCGTGGGCGTATAATAGCTGGTGATGGGTCTGGACTTGGATGTTTGCGTGTTGTCCGAACTGGTCTGCGCATAATTATGTCTTGGGCGCGGCTTTTGATCTTTGCGATTCTCCTTTGAGCGACGTACATCACCTGCAAATTGGGTCACAATATATATGTTATGTTAATAGATGCAAAACAAAACGAAAAAGAAGAAGAAATATAGCGGCATTATTGAGGCTCATTATGTATTTAGCTGACCACTTTCGGCACGCTGCAAATGAAATGTGGACTCCTCCTCGTTGGCGTTTTTGCTGTCATCCGCTCCGCGATAAAGATCGTTTAGATTGTTGTTGTCATCGTAGGCGGTGGCCTTGTCACAGTCGACGTCCGCCCAGTTGGCGCAGATCTGCAGCTCTTGATCGAAGGCCGTGCTATTTGGGCAGAGGAAGCGATAGTCCTGCACCTGTTGGACAAACGAATTAACTCTTCGATGTGAGAGCTGCGCAAACAGACAAACGGCATAAACAGCATATACAGCATAAGCAGATCAAACATGCAAAATTCAATGTTAAATAAGTGAAGGCAAAATTAGAATTCGAATTAGAAGCATTTCTCTTCTATGTCTCTTTGTAAATGATAAAACAACAACAATTACAACAACAGCAATAAAGTAATACAAATTTAAATAATTGTACAATCATAATTAAATCCCAAAACTAACTGGATTCTAATTGAAATAGATCGAATCAGAGCAATATATCATATATAAATGTATGATCCTATATAGACAAGTATGTAATCTTCCCACTAATATAGCTGTTCTTTCTTATTTCAGTTCAGAATCGTGTCAGAACAATAAATATCATATATATGAGTATATATAGACAGGTAAGAAATCTTCCTCATACAAAATTGCTCTTACTTTTTATTGTGTATAAATATGCAAATACATAGGTCAGTTATAACTCGGTTTAATGTAGCACACTATAAAATTGATATTAATTATTAGAGAACAATTTGAAGACTTGTTTATCTATACATACATATATAATAATAATAATAATAATAATAATATAACACACTTTGAAATATTTGTTCGTAAAATGTATTCTAAACCAATTAATTATCATGATTATTTCTTTAAACAATAAATTATACTCAATTACTCATTTTCAGAGATTAGTGGGACCATTTGTGAATTCTAATGCAAGTATAATTTGTTTACTTCGCAGTTTGTCCAAAAGATATTGAGGCGAGTATGATATGCATGCATAGTCTACTATCTCAAATAGATGTATCTGAGAATATATCGTGACAAACGTTACAATAGCCTCGACAAGGCTTTTGGAGTTTAACAAGGCAAAAAAAAGTTGACTAGCGAACTTTGCCATTTGGTTGAGTCGTTTGTTGTTTGTGGCACTTTTGGTATTTGGCATTTTCCACTGGTATCCGGCAGTGAGAAGGCAGACAGCCAGCCAGTCAGCCAGCCAGGTGATGCTGCACACTTTTTGCCGTTAATTGAAGTGAAGTGAAGTGAACGTTCTCGATCTTGGTTGGCGTTGCAACTAACACATAAAAGAACGTATATATATATACAGTAGGCTAATTGACAACTAAAATTTGTTTGTATATATATTTATAGTTCTGTTCGATTACCAGGTAAAACTCGTACCATTTTGTGACTTTCGCTTAAAATGGTAAGACAGGCTAGTGCCAACTGTGTGCAATCCATGCTTAGTGCTCAATGCCAATTCCTTTTTAATAGTACAAAATGTATTTCTTTCGCAAATTGTCGTCGCTCAATCGGCAGCAAACGGATGTGTGTGAGGAAGCCGTCTCGAGTGCTTTGGATGATGTGCTCAGGGGTAAAACTAGCACGATTTTCAGCTATGGCACCGCTGCAGAGGGTGGTCAGCATGAAATTGATCAGCAGGATATGTTTGATCGCATTCTAAGTGATTTATTTGACCATGTTTACACTATGGAGGCTAGCATGGAGATCAATATATTCATTAAGCATAGACAGCTCTTTGCCAAACAGGTTGAGCATAAAACGGATGAATTTACTAAGGAGCAGGGGAATGTTGAAGAGGACACTCCCAATGAATATTCCCTTGAGCACAGCGAACACTTTGTCGCCTCAACCAAGGATGTCTATAAGTACATGGAAAAGGTCATTCCTAAATGCATTGAATCGCCGGAGAACCTTGCCGCCTCATCCCAAATGCAAACGGTCAATCCGAAAGCAATCTGCAATAATAATTCACATTTTATGTTCACCATATGCGTGTGGCAAACGAATCTAGAGCGGTCAATGCATCTTCTGGGCAAATTGCAGCTAATCCAACTCAAGGACTTACATCTCCAGGAGATGCGAGATCTCAATACCCCAATGAGCGGCGTACTAAAGCTACTCAGTGTGCTGGCGAACATTACCAAAACTCACTTAAGATACTACAACATTGGGCTAGCACGAAACTTAAAGGATTTCCTGGGTGCTGATGGAACAGTGATATTCAATTATGCAACAATGCCGGATGTGCCACTAAAAGAGGCCTCGACACTCGGGTGCGCCAAGGTGTGGAAGGCGCTCTTTATGCGAGAGCGCAAAAGATGAGAGATCCTTAATAAAGATATATTAAGCTTGAAAGCAGAGACGAATATTTGCTCCCAGCTGGAAGTGAAGGAACAGAATTTGTTGGAGGAACTAGCAAAAATCAAAGAGGATGCCACAATTAACTTGGAAGAGTTGTTGCACTTGCAACAGATAATTGTTCAACTGCAAAACCATTTCAGCCAACATGCGCAGCAACTGGAGCAGAAGAATGAAATGTTGTCGCAACTAAATAAGCTGCTCCGCAAGGCCAACAAGAAGGTGCACTGGCAGCGAACAGGCTTCCAGAAGAAACTCTTGCTGTTTTCGGAACTGTTCAAGAGCCTGTGGCAACAGCAGCGTAGTGCGCTGCAGTTGCACGAACACGAACGCGAGGTGCAACTATTGCAAATGTTTGAGACCATTTATAATGAACTGCAGAGCAGCAAAGTCAAATCGGACTAACTTCATTGGCAATTAAGACGAGACAAAGAAAAAAAATTGGAATCGCTTAACTCTACACACTCTGCTTAAAGGTCAGCGATCCAAGTCAAGCAACTGTTGCTCTGCGCCCTCTTCTGCTTCTTCATCTTCCTCTTTTGGCCTTAACTGCAACCGGCTGGCAACTTGGCAACTTGGCAACCTGGCAACTTGGCTGGCAGTCACGAAGTCTCATCACACATACCTCCTTGCCCCACAGCTGGCCCCCTCATTCGGTGCTGTGCAACTTTTGCCATTTAGCTGACAGCGGCAACCAAGCGCAAACAGATTACACTGAACGAAGTCCGCCAAGTAAACAACAACAACAACAAAAAGTCTTACGTTTTGTTAAAGCCTATAAAGATGGCAGACAAAATTTTCTATGACTTTTACAAAACGCACGATTTTCGAACACGCGTGCATATATTAAAAATCTGATAATTTGATAGGAAGTTGTTTTATCTAAGCATCTGGACGAAGAATCAGCCCTTGAGTTGGCAGTCAGGTTTCAATCCAAAGTTGTGAACTTTTAGCTGCTGGCCATGATAGGCACTTATATTTATGGGCTGAGCTGCAAGCTTAATGTAATAACAATAATTATGATGATAACAAGCCAAAATTATGTAATAGGGAGATCTCTAGTTGAAGATCAACTCGTATATTTATTTTAATTTATTATTAACAAAATTATGACTTGGCAATAAGTACTAACCGAGGTATTGTCATGACAAAAAATGAAATATTTATAATTAAAAAATGAATGGTTTTCTTTAGTAATAATTAACTATTTAAAATTATGGACTTAGGACACACTTTATACAGGTTTGAAGAGTATTGTCGCAGTCAATTTACAGCGATTGTATCAAAATTAAATGCCACAAAACTGATATATATATATATTCTAATGTGGGAATCGAGAGAAATTTTAATTAATTTATTTATTTATTTACCTTAGCACAGCCTGTCACATTTATTTCAATAATTTTATGTTATATTTGTTGTTATTGTTGTTGTCTTTAAACAGTTGCATGTCAACACTTACCCCAATTCCTGGCAGCTTGACGCAAACATGAAACATTTGACACTGGGTCTCGGGATCGGCATAGTAGCCGCCAAGGATCTTGTCACGGCACGTGAACTGCGTCTTGGGCATATTCTGCAGACTATACGTGGGCCATGGTCGCCCAAAGACATCATCATCCTCATCCAGCAGCTGGGCCTTCCCATAAAGTATGGCCGTCGTTGTGGCTGTAATATTTCGAATAGAAGAAGAAATCGTGAGTGAGTAAAATCGTTAAAGATTTGTTGGACTCAAGTGGTGCAGTTGATAGACTCTAAGTAGGGGCCAGCTGCCCCGCTGACCTTCATCTTAATGTGGCTCGCAGCACACTCGCAACACACTCGCAACACTTTCGCTTACAAGACTCAAGACGAGGCACATGATTTATGTGTGTATTTGAGTGTGTTGTTGTGATGGAGTACTTCAAGCCGACTCAAGGTTACCTCTAGTTAAGTTCTGTGATTGTGAGTGTGTGTGATTTTGTTGTATTTTCTGTTTGTTGTATTTTGACAATTGATGGCTTTTTGATACAAAACAGACATAATTAACTTTTATGGTCTGCAAAATTCCCACAGCGATATTTGTACACTTATGTCAAATTCAACTGTCAAATTGGCCAATAAAAATATGTATATATAAATATACATAAATATATATATGTATGTTCGTCTCCACATGAGGGTTAAAAACAATTAAAATGCCATGTCAATCAAAGTATTATGGATTACGAAGCAATTGGTGTACACAACTAACACTAAAAGCCACTACAGCTCGGAACGTTAATGGCCCAAAAAGCCTAATTACCATGACGCCCATATGTATGACTTATAGCCAAGTCTAATGCTGTTTTTTTTATTTTTTATTGTGGTTACTGTTCTTACAAAACTCGAAGCGGAAGATGCAAATGCTTGCCGCAATTAAGGCAATTGCAATTTGGCAATTGCAGAACCAATGCTTAAAATCGCCTTGAGTTGGTCCAAAGCACAAATTGCAACCAAATTCGTTGGCTAATATTATGCAATCGGAGTGCCTCATTCATCATCGGGCGAATACAAGACACAAACAGCCGGAGAGATAGAGAAATGCAAAGACTCGTCTATTTTAAAGATTCGCATTTAATTCAAATGAATTTCATTTTCAATTCCCACTTTTCCCTACCAATTTCAAATTTCTGTTGGCTTTGTTTGGGCCTGTGTGAACTATGACTAGGCAGATGATGCCCCGATTGCGGTTGAATCTCCAAACCATTTTTCTATTGTTTATTGCCTCTTATTCAATCCCCCAATTTAGAGTCCCAGACAAGTGATTCGCACGACTTGAAGTCGAGCTTCCGTAGGGCGTCGTCGTCTGGGCATGTTAATGACCATTGAAGAGATGGTTTACAATAAATTTGTTCATGCGCACATAATTATTATTTCTATGCCTGACCCAATATATTAGTCAAATAAATTGTTCAGACCTTTTATATTCATATTTTTTTCTGGGCAAAATTCACTAATTGCATTTATTTCGAATTCGGGGTAAGACAATATTTGTAGAAACGTGGCCTGTTGCTTAGACCTTCGGTCAATACATAATTTCTTATATTTATATATATGTATATATATATATATATATATAATATAAGATTGAGCAGGCTGCGTCAGCTAATGATCATGCGAATTAGTTATCGGAGATGAGCTCAGTACATATTATGTATGTGATGTTATATATATGTCATTATATATATATATACATTATATGTGTGCTCAAATACGTAATTATCGCAAATAAGGAAGGTCAGTGAGATGCGTGACCAAAGCGATAGAGTGCCTAATGATATTTATCATAAGGAAACGGATTTAATGAATTGCAAATTGTGCTTTAAAATTTTACGCAGAATATTTGCAGAATTTAAGCTGTTGCATTTTGGTTATGATTGAATTTTTTTTAAGACGTTCGATCTAGTTAATGATTTTGATTTTAATTAATTAATCTGATTTTAATTAAGTACTAATTTTAAATTAATTTTATATCCACCGTATAGATAAATACATTTCTTGCAATTTTTTAGTTTATGTTAAGACATTTGTTAAATATACTTCTAACTCATTCATATACAAATGCAGCAGCAAATAATGCATTAAGTCTCAAGTTAATTTTATTATTCCTCTTCAAGATCTTTTTTTCCTAGATATTATACATATATGTCCTTTAGTCTTGGCAGATTTGTTCGTATATATTCAAAAACGCGTAAAGAAAAAATATTCATTTCAACTCTATTTAAGTGTGCTTTGTAAATTCTTTAAAAATTATCTAACATTTTTCCCTTCCATTAAAAAACGTTCTTGAGTAGGTTATGAGTAAATTCCAAAATTGTGCACTTCATTTCATTTTCTTCGTTTTTGTTATTATTAAAAAATTCACTTTCAAAAAATCTTTTGAGCTTTCTTCATAATATTTATATTTCCCTCATTTTGTTATACACAAATACGCTACATTGATGATATTTAATTATTGAACATTTTTTAAATTTGTTTGACTTTAATTAATTTTCCGATAATCTCTCTCTCATATGTAAAAATACCACAAAATGAAAAACATAATGTTAACGAGTCATTCCCTTTGTATTTTAGTGTATAATTATTTTCTTTTTTCAATTAGTCTTCACATACTCACCCAATAGAAAGGCGCACATATGATAATTAATAATCGACATGGCGCTGTACTTAAGTGGTTAATCCAAATCGAGGTGTAAATGTAATTTATAGTATCCAAAGGGTTATCCAAAGTGCTTAAGCTGCTAGTAATATATGTAGTAGTAGATATTCACATGGAATGCACTGTAAAACATAAAAGACACAACACGCAGATAATCTTAATAATTCGAAGTGTTACAAAACGCACAAGTTTGTTTTTATGTTTCTCTTAAATTAACACAAAGATCAACGAGCGATTCATTTCCATTAGGTGAAACTGTTTGTCATGGTGGATGGAAGACGGGCGCTCAACTAGAAAACGAGCAAGAAATACCGACAAAAATCAAACAGAAATTCTTCTTCATATTCCTGTTCGTATTCATATTCGTATTCAAATTCGTATTCGTATTCGGATTGGTATATTTGGTATGTAAATGCGTATACGAATGTGTTTCGCAAGGTGCGAAAACTACGGAAAAGCCATTTAGAATGTGCAGCGAAACGTTGAAGAAGACAACCAACAAGAGTCTTTTCGCTGTCTGCCTCACTTGACTGGGCAAACAGGCAGACAGGCAGACAGAAAAAACAACCACTCAGTCACTGGCAGGTCACAAGTCACAGTGACAGTCACTGTTTTTTTGTTTTTGTTTTAAGTTTTAAATTTAGATGTGGTTACGAACCGCACGAGACGAGCACAGCGAGTGGCGCAGTGATGCGCGTTTTGCGACTATATCGTTTACGTTGTCGAAGCGAAATGATTTCTGAAAGCGAAAGGAAAAACCACTTGGGCCTCATCAGCAGAAGCAACAGCAGAAGCAGCAGCAGCAGCAGCAGCAACAAACGCAGTCACAGTCGCAGTCGCAGCAGCAGCAGCAACAATCGCACTCGCAACAGCAACAATACAAGCGGCGTCGGCGGCACACGAGTCGCTGCTAGAAGAAGCCGCTTCGGCTTTAACTCCGCTTCTACTCAGCTTTTGTCGATCTGATCTGCGGCCTCTTTGAGTGCTCATGTGTCGCATGCTTAACGCACATTACACATTACGCATACGCAGCGTGTGACACTTGTGCTCATTGTTTGACCAGCTGACAAGGAGTTTTTTCCTCAGTTTTTTGCCAGCATCGTTTGTCACTCACTTACGTCAGCGACTGCAGGGCCGCAGGGCCAACGCCATATTGATACAGAGAGAGAAAATGTATGCACTAATATTAAGTTTCAATGACCTCGACATAAATATTTAAAACTCTTGTAAGTCACACCTGATGTATGAACGTTTTTCTCAAAATTGCACATTGAGTCATAGACTAAGCATAAAATATCTTCAATATATATAAATATAAAATATACAATTTATTAATAAAATAATTTGTAGTAATTGCCTTCATTGTTCGCCTATGTTAGACTTTGGTTGTTGTTTTTGCTGAGAGAAGACGAAGGAAAGGATCCCAGGGCCGTACTTTACTTTAAGAATAAGTGATCCTGTTTAATTCTTTTATTTGATACTTGAATTTTAAATGTGCTCGTGTAAAAATCGTATTTATTTTTCACATCAACTTTGAAGATAAGTTTCACTTTTGAAAAACAATGACTTTAGGTTATCAAGCGTGGTGCTTTGATCTTTTGTACGTGATTATTTTTCGCTGTGTATGAGCAGGTCGCTAGTTGAACTAAGCCCCAACCGCACTCCCACCGCAATCCGCCTGCAATTACATGTACCATGTACAATGCATATGCTTGCAAGTAGCGTCGACTAGCAGCGCGTCGCGTCGCGTCGCGTCGGTTGCATCTTCCGCTGGTATTATGTCATAGTTAGTCATGGCGCGGCGGCATTGTCATTTACTGTCGCTGCTTCGGCCGCAGTCGCTGCTGTTGCTGTTGCTGTTGTGTCGGGCCAAAAGTCGCGCCGCTGTTGTAGTTGCTGCTGTTGCTGCTGTTGCTGCTGCTGCTGCTGCTGTTGCCGTCGGCAATCCGGTTCGCGTATATGGGTGAGTAGTGTGTGGCACAGAGTGTGGGGAATGCGCGGCATTTTGGTTGCAGTGTGGGAATTTGCACGCCTGCAGTTCAGACAAAAATCTGCAGATTGTTTGCTGTATTTTTTTTTTTTTTTGTATTTGGGCGTTGCTATTTAGATTTTTGTTTGTCAAAAGGCAACGACAACAGCCAGCAACAATCAACTAATGTCCATCAAAGCGTAGCCCTAAAAGTGCCAGCTTGGCATTTCAAAGTTGAGGTTGGCTGCCGGAAAATGATCAAGCAAATCCAACCTATCACAAAAAAAAATGTCAACTGCCTGCACAAAGGCGAACTGAAGACGAGCCTGCGACTTTCTGACTTTCAGCCTGGCCCAAGCTGCAGGCGCAGGCATATGGTTGCAACCTGGTTTTAGTTATGCCTCTAACAGTGCACAGAGCGAAAAAAATGTATTTCGGCAGAATGCGATCAGCCCACTATGTTTGAAAATGCATAAACTGAGTATTTTGATCTATTTTCGAGGTATTTTTAAGGTAGATATAATCTTAAAATAAGTAGATGACCTTTTGTTCCAATTCTCATTCCTTTAGAAAAGACAAAAAATGTATTTAGAAATTATATTAAATATATATTGGCCTAAGAATCTTGGTGACAACTTAATTCAAGGTAATTCAAAATACATTTTCGTACATCATGTTTCGCGCTGTGTAGTTGATGCTGAGCCTGACTGTTTTACCATCATTTTTTTCTTTTTCTAATTTCTCGTCTCATGAAGAGTCAGCTGCAATGATTGTGTAAGAGGTTTTGCCTTTGTCCGCCCGTCAGTTCGTCCATCTGTCTGTCGTATTTGGGCTGCCTAGAAAAGCATAATAAATGTTCAATTTATTTTGTTTGGACTACGTTTGTGTCATCCTCGGCAAAGAAAGGCTGTGACTCACGCGATGCTGTTTTGAGCCAACTGCGTGGGAAAGGCCAAATAACTAGGAAGTGTCGTCCACTGGACAGTGCCAATAATGAGAAAATAAAAACGAAAACAACAAAAAACGGCAATAACAAAAGCAGCGCAAGGAAACAAAAGACTGCAGACACGAACTGGCTTTGCCTTCGGTTAGTTACTTAGTGTCAGCATTACACAGCAGCTTGGCTATAATTCTAATTAGCGCCTGGCTTTCAATTAAATACACATCAATTTGAATGGCCTCCGCTTTGGCTCTGACATTGATAAATGCGCCGCAAAGACACGGACACGATTTTGCTGTACAACATTGGCAGCTACAAGCAGCTCAATAGATAAATAGCAATAAGGGCCTCACAGCAACGTGCAAGCAACATCATTAAGAATTCCTATACATATTTGCCACGTAAATTATTTAATTTTTCGTTTGGGATTATATAAGCGCAGTAAAAGTGCCGAAAGCATTTGCACAATGTGTGGGAGCCAAAGCCAATGAAAAATGCATACAGACATTCACCAACTGCATCAGCATCAGCATCTGATACAACTGCAACAGCAAAAGCAAAAGCAGCCGCAGCAGCAAAAGTAAATTTCAATTAAGCTGAAGATGAGCGCAGCAGGCAGGCAAGCAGCTCTTCAGGCACTTTGGTGGCTGGCCAACAGACGTGCCAAAAAATGCCAAAAACTTAGCAGCAGGCCGACTAACGAGTCGAGCATTTCGATTGGGAATGGGAATGTGAATGGGGTTGATGGCTGTCAACACTTACAAAAAAAATATTGCTCACAAGAAATGGACACCTAAACTTGTGACCAAGTAAGAAAATTTGTAGAGTCAAATATGATTGATAAGTCAGTTTGTCAAATAACTAAATTCAATATCTTAAGCATTAAACTGAAAATGTCATTAGTGAAGTAATAAATTTGATTGGACAAATAATCCCTAAGCTAAATGTAATTAATAATATGTCTGGGAAAATCAAGCATTTTTATATTTCAACGAAGTCGCGCAGATCAAAGAGGAAATATCATTGGCTAAATAAACAAATTCATAAGCATCACAAAAATTATAAAATATTTGTTTGGGAAATGTGTGCCTCTTTATATTCCAAAAGAAACCGTTCTTCACATTTTAACATGTTTCAGTTTATTCAATAAAATAAATATATTTTGAAAATCACTTATTTAATTATATATTATTTTAATTCATTTCTATGTTATCGTAAGATGTATATTATACATTTCTTGCACCAAACACACACTTTATTGAATGTTTTCTTTGAATTAGGAAATTTTTCTGCGTGCAACAGCTGTTGCCTTTGGGTGTTTGCTGGTTGGGGGTTTGTCAGTTAAGGTGTTTGGGGGTTGAGGAGTCTGGAGCCTGGGCATTTCAATTGGAATTGTGTCTGTCTGGGCCATTGAGTAATTGTGTAGCTATGAGCATGAGTATAGGCATCCAAGATTTCCCGTTGATAAAGTGAATTGGTTGGAAAACCTCATAATAAGAAATCACACACACTCACATACACCCAGAGTGAGTCGAATTTCGCATGGCTCTGAGATTTGGGACGCATGCACGTGGCAATGCCGACAACTGCAGCTGTGCTGTAAATTCACTGTTTATGATGCGACGGCGACAGCAATGTGCGAAAGAGTCTTGCGAAATGGCTTAACGCAAAAGTTGCGGCACAGGATTGGGGCAGGCAGCTAGTCAGTCAGTCAGTCGGCTAATTTGACAGCTGCAACAAGCCAAAAAAATATATATGAAATTAACTGATGCGCGATCTTTGAAATGAGCAGGTCATATAAAAAAAAACAGGTAAGAGTATTCTTGTGGAAGCAACTCGACTACTAAACACCCTGCAGTCAAGTCCTTAACTAGCATAAGTCGTACACATCACACATGTTTAAATGTATAGCGCTGTCAACAAAACCGTCATCGAAGTCAAAAATGAAAGAAGTTTAAAATATGTTTGGATTCGAAACGTTATACTCAAAATTGTAGGCCTCTAGTTCTTGCAGTCTCGAAGATTCCTTGGCTACATCAACTTGATGCTGATGCCGATCACGAATACATATACATCTATATAAATTGATGTTGAAGTTGCTTTTATTTGCCTCTAACATACATTTGTATAGTTTACGATTCCATTTTCAGCCGTTTTTATTATTTTCAGCACATAAAAACGAAAGACTTAGGCAACGAACTTGTTTTTGATAGACTCCCGACTATGTCAGATTAATTTGCACTCATAAACCGACAAATGTTAAATAAAAGTAAAACCAATAAAGACATACCTACAACTGCAACTGAAGTCTGAATTTGCATAAAATGTGCATTAGGCTCACCCCCGCCATAGATATATATATATATACATAAAGTGTATATATAGTCACACCAAGAGGCGCAACTTGTGCCGAAATCTTTCAAGACGAAACGTGAGAAAATGTTATAGACGTGAAGGCAGTTGCTATGCCACACAGATATTCCAGTTGGGCATGTGCATATAGCTGTATAGTTGAGGCGAACACAGCACAAAATAAATAAAAATATTTGCAAATTATGGGAATGGCAAACGGCAAAGGCAACAACAACAACAACTTAAGACGTTGATTTCGCCAAGAATCCGGCGCGGTTAGTTGCAGATGCTGCACTAACACCCCAGCAGCAACAAGTTGCTGCTGTTGTTGTTGTTGTTGTAGTATCTGTGACTAATTGCGTTTGCCCATACAAATGCATTATTTTGTTTTTATTTTTTTGTCGTAATTATTCGCAACAGTGTTGGAATACT